ATTCTGGCCTAATTGAAATAAATGATTTTGACTTTCACTTTGAATTTGACTTTAAAAAACCATGGGCATGGGCGGCAAGCTACCCATGCTCGCCGTCCGCAGGCCCGTCTTTGATTGGCTGCTGTGTAAAGTATTGTAGGTTTGAAAGGGGGTGAGCACACCATCGCGGGCCAAATGTTTTATACAAATCCTTCTTTAAAATATGCTTTTATTAAGTCGAACTGCAACGAACTACGTATTTTTTATGGGAAAAGCCGATAAACAAACACAAAACTCCGATGCGACGTCGCATCGCATAACAGAAGTGCACACTTCTTTTTACGATCCATGTCACGAATTAGTTTTCAATTTAAAATACGTTTAGTACGGTTGACATAATGCCCTAACCTCTTGTCTGTCGGTATACCTATAAGAAACAATAGACAACAAATTGGGTCTCGCGCATAAGCCGGTAAACGCGCAGAAGGATCACCTGAAGGTAAGCAATCGGCGTCGCCCATGGACACCTGGAACACAAGAGGCGTTACATTACAAGGGCATTACAGGCCTTTGAGGGATTAGAAGTTTGAGGATTATTGCGGATTCATGGATTGGAGAGATTGGGGAAATGGAAGGGGTATAATATCAGGAGGTTCCTAAAAAGAACCAGAACGACAAGGAAGGCTTTACCCTAGTCGAAAGAAAGAAGAAGAGGAAGCCTACTTGCCGCAATCAGTGCGGTACCGCATTGACAGGACACAATTATCTACTGCGACCTGCTGTACCAGCCACGCTGCTCTACGTGTCCCGCCTACATGACTCCACAAAGGTTGAGGAGATTGTGGAGTTCATCAAGACCTAGGCAAAGCTTCATCTAAAGGTTGAGCAACTGCACTCGCTACACAGAGTGGACTTCAAGTCTTTTGTAGTCAGGGTGCCGACTGAACATCTGCCAACCTTAATGAAAGAGGAGTTTTGGCCGCGAGGGGTAGTCTTCCGACGGTTCCGAGGTCGGCTACCGGACACTGTGCGACACACGACGCCGTCTATTCGTGTGACCTAGTTATTAAGTACCTAATTGAGTAATTATTTTGTTTGTAATGTATGTATAGTATTTATAAATCTTTAATGTATTAGTTTATAGTATTCGATATGGGCCTGTGATGCCTGAAATAAATAAATAAATAAAAAAAAAATAATAGGGTAGATTGCTAATTTTTATTTTAATGTCCGTCTGATAGATTATGTTAAATCATTACACACGTATTTTTTATTTTCTTACAGAAACGAATACTTTCGACGATATATTGATTTAAAATGTCGCGTGACGTCACTTCTATGTACATTTTATACGTAGAAATGACGTTTTAGCCCCCACTCCTAAACTTTGATTCTTTTTATCTAAGTATTGTTTTGTTATACGACAAAATAAAAAAAAAATGCGTGTCTAATATTTTTTCATTATCTAACTTACGGACTAATTAGATTTTTAATGTTCATACCCTGTCATCATCCTAATTGGGCCTAAATGAATGTATGTATAAAAGCGTTTGGAAAACCATCTTTTATGCAGTTTGGCATTTATAGTCATGTAAACTAAACGTGTATAGTTTCAGCTCAATCGGTTAATTGTGTCTATAGTAACGGTACTCAACGAGTTAAAGGTATCTGTTTCAATATTTCTATGCAAGATTCCACTTCACACAAACATACATTGCACGATCAACAAAAGGTAGTCATCATAGACATAACATCACGCCTTTTATCCCCGAAGGTGTGCAAATTATGCCACTGTACAATGTAACACTTTTCACTATTTATGTTATAAGTCCCATGTAATAGAGGGTGAGCCTATTGCCATATAGTTACAGGGAACAATTCCAGACTCCGTGCAACTACTGAGATTTTTTTAAAACCCAGTAATACTTTGCCCGACCCGGGAATCGAACCAGAGACCCCTTGCCCGGCAGTCGCACTTGCGATCACTCGGCCAACGAGGCAGTCATCATATATAGATTACTAGCGACCCGCCCCGGCTTCGCACGGGTGCAATATGCATGTATTATACATACAAACCTTCCTTAAGAATCACTCTATCTATTAAAAAAAACCGCATCAAAATCCGTCGCGTAGTTTTAAAGATCTAAGCATACATACGGACATACAGCGAAAGCGACTTTGTTTTATACTATGTATTGATTTTGATATTCCTGTGTTTGTCATAAATAAACTTTGTCTCAGCATAAACCTGTATACATAATATTATAATTAAAAATATCAAAGCAAGTAATAATAAAGATGACTGCCTCGTTTGCCGAGTGGTCGCCCGTGCGAATGCAAGAGGTCGTGGGATTCCCGGGTCGGGCAAAGTATTACTGAGTTCTTTTTTTAATCTCAGTATAGCACGGAGTCTGGAATTGTGCCCGGTATATGGCAATAGGCTCACCCCCTATTACATGGGACTCATAAATTATATAAATAGTGAAAAGCGGGTGTTACATTGTACAGTGGCATTAAGTGCGGTAATTTCCACCTCTGCCTTCCCCTTCGGAGAAAAGGCGTGATGTTGTGTGTGTTGTTGTTTTGTTAATAATACATATGTTTTAAATGTCAAAACTCACCCAAAAAAATGACAAAAGTTTTAATTAAACACATTGTTGATAATATATATAGGTATTTGCCACAAAACACTGAATTTTTATTAAACACAACAACTTTTATTGATCACGAGTATATTTTTCTAATTATAACACTATGTTAATACAAAAACGTCATTTAATTTTACATAAAAATAACACTGTTTGCTTCAATTTTTGCACAACTGTCATGGTCGACTTGCGAAGCGGACTAAAGCCGACTAAATCAGCGTCTCAAAACAAGTATTATTTATTGTTATTACCTTTAACGACCATACGATGTAAATTAAACCGTAACACACCTGTCTAAAGCACATTATTAATTAAAAATGGTCGTGCTTGAACATTTTTGGTCAACTTGTCTGAATGGCAAATAAACGAAAATCATTCGACTATTTCTGTTATTACTAGCTACTACCGCGCAGTTTAAGTCACTCTGCTCGGCTCCTATTGATCGTAGCGTTATGTTTTATAGCTTATAGCCTTCCTCGATAAATGGACTATCCAACACAAAAAGAATTATTCAAATCGGACCAGTAGTTCCGGAGATTAGCGCATTCAAACAAACAGACAAACAAACAAACGACATGAAGCTCATATATTAAATGAAGTATAGATTGGAATGATTTAAGTTTGTCGTTGTTCTAATAAGGGATAGATAGAGGTCATCATCATATTAAACCAGTATACTTACATATTGATTTATTATTTATTTGCCTGTTTTTTAATAAAAGCGGCTAACGAGCAGATGGACCACTAGAGAGGAACACGTTGCAGGCTTTTTGAGATTTTTTTTTATGGAATAGGAGGCAAACGAGCAGACGGATTACCTGATGGTAAGCGATCAGCGCCGCCCATGGACACTCGGAAAACCAGAGGAGCCACAGGTGCGTTGCCGGCCTTTTTAAAAGGAGTACGCTCTTTTCTTGAAGGTTTGAAGGTCGTATCGGTATTTATAATTACTAAGATTATTCAGACACCAGTGACATACGGTATTTTTTTCTACTCCATAAAATAAGAAGGGAAAACATCGAGAGGAAACCTGGGCTTATAATGTTTAATTATAAGTTTGAAATCGACCACCCGCGTTTAGCAAGCGTGGTGATTAATGCTCAAACCTTCTCCGTATTTTTATTTAAATCATCGAATGACTGCTCCCGCCTGGGTGAGGCCGGAGGGAATGTCAGACTCTTACTGACTAAAAACCACCCCGTTCCTTCTCCTGCCCTTCAAGCCGGAGCCCCGGCAACCCGTTAAGTTCTCCGCGACTCCGTATCGGCATCAGCCCTATTGGGCTCCATCCGTGGTGGTCTGATGGCTCTTTGAGGCGCGTGCGGAACGCGACGCGCTGTACGCTCGGGTCTGGTTCTGGTCGGGCGGCGAGCCACCCATGCTCACCTTTCGCAGGCCCGCGCTAAAACTTCTCATTATGTAAAGAGGCCTTTGTTCTGCTGTTAGTGTTGTTGTTAATCAAAGAAACTCACAGCAAGAGTGGCCTAAGGAACCCTTAGGTAGATGACTGTAAACTTTCAATAGGCGATAAGCCCTTTCATTGAAACTAGCTTCCGCCAACAGCTTCGCTCGCGATTTCGATAGAAATAGCCTATGTGTTATTCCAAACAATGCCTAATCTACTCCTGTTCCAAATTTCATCTCGATCCTTGCAGCCGTTTTGACATAATTGAGTTACAAACATACAGAAACACACATCACAAATATTCCTCACTAGCAGCCCGTCCCGGCTTCGCACGGGGTAGACAATTATTTATTTTTGGACATTTGGATTGTTGTAGTGACATAACTACAATAGTTGGACATATGCTACCGCGGAGTTTTTTGTAGACATTATGATGTTCTTCAATATTGTTGTACATTATTTTGTTCTATCGCTAATAGTTTCGGCAGCACATTCGACGAAAGACATTTTAAGACTCATTTATCTACACCTTCGGTTACATTGTTCAAATTTTACCAAGGATCCCTAATTTTTGTTCAAAATCAAATGTAGCCTATGTCAAATTAGAAGAATGTAGCATTATATTGGTGAGAGTTTTTTAAATCGGCCCAGTACTTTTTGAGCCCATACATTACAAACATACAAAAATAAGTACAAATCTTGCCTCTTTATAATATTAGTAGTATAGATTAATAATATTAAGTCAACATAAATATAAGAAAAAAACATGAATTAAATCAAATTATTTTTAATTAAATCTTCGTAGATGTCTACGTTTGCAAACGTGACAAAGTCCACAGGAGAGGTTCCGCAGGGTTCGGTAGACATGTCCACAGGAGATATGGACACTACCCCTCTGAGGTAGAAACGGGTACCAATCTCACTGACTTCGGGAAACATTATCCCCGCCCCACTGTTACCTTGACATATCACCGTATCTGAAAAAAGGAAATGTTATATTAGACATAATATTTTTTTTATTGATTCGTTTATTTTTTATAATTTTTTGATTATAAATAAACCAATGGGAAGTACTCTTGATACTTATGGTAGAAAATTTTACTCAAAGAAAAACATTCCTTTATTTTTGAAAAGATACCAAACTACATTCAAGGATTAAGTTGCCTCACACGGTAATCGAACCGATTAAAATCTGTCAAAGTTTGCACCCAGTACTTTTATTACTTCATTGTTTTCCATACATGCAACGGTACCCGGGAGAATCGAACCCGATACCACTTGCGACCACTCGACCAACGAGGCTGATACTAACAAAGGATAGTCACGAAAAGAGCTTTCTAGACGTATACGTCTGCTCGCAATTGGTCGGTAGGAACATTCTGTCCGTCATCCTAAATTCATTGAATTTTCGACTTTATGTCAATAATGAAGAGGTCAAAGAGTAATTTGATAGAAGAGGATAGCTTGACCTGCTTGCCCCCCTACCGTACCACACGGTGCTGCATACCATTTTGTCTTCCAGCGCAGAACTTATCATAAGTGAGGTATCCTCTGAAGTTTGAGTATGAAGTCTTGATGCTGTCCAGACATTTCGCTGTAGATATGTATGGTAGTGTTTGAAGTACGTGACGTCTTTGAGACCCTCTAACAGATGGCAAGGATACAGACACCTGCAAATGAAATATCACATCACTTCAACAGCCTATAGGTAAGTGACCACTGCTAAGCAAAGGCCTCTTCTTACACGAAGGTTTGAGCATTAATCGCCACGCTTGCTCAAAGCGGATTGGCATTTCAAACTTATAATTAGAAACTATAAGTTCAGGTTTCTGCACGATGAGCCGCAGAAGTACGCGGAAGTAGATACCTATACTGACTTCGCGGTTGAATAATGTACACCGTAGATAATAATCATTTTTAGCCGACTTCAAAAAAGGAGGAGGTTTTCAATTCGACCTTATATTTACTTTTTTCTTGTAATCGACTATCTTGTAATGTATGACTGTAATGTATCTACGAATAAAATGTAATACGTCTATGACTATGATACTCGCAGGCAGAATACAATGACTTTGAGGCTGTTAGATCTTCCTTTGTAAATATGTATTCTTGCAAATAAATGAATTTGAATTTGAAGACTTAACGGGTTTCCGGGGCTCCGGCTCGAAGTGTAGGAGTAGGAACGGGGTGGTTTTTAGCCAGTAAGTAAGAGTCTGACACTCCCTCCCGCCTCACCCAGGCAGGAGCAGTCATTTGATGATTTTCTACTCTCAAAACAAAAAGTTTCCTCACGATGTTTTCCTTCACTGTTAGTCAGTGGTGTCTAAATAATCTAAGAAAGTAAATATAACTAGGAAAAGTCACATTGGCAGTGGCGTAACTACAGGGTGGCAAGTTAGCTAAAAGCCACAGACCCCCAGCTGGAAGGGGGCCTCGACGTTCCATTCAGAAGTTTTCATCTGTATAGTCTGTACTTTATTGAGAACGGGATGGATTGATGTATTGGTGTAGTAGTTATGCTACTGCACATTAGCCAGGGTATTTTTAATGAAACAAGCCCACCACAACCTCCCGAAATCGCTGCAAATCCTATATACACGCCAGGGTTACGGGCACCTTAAACATTCGCGTCACCACTACCTTTCTAATAATAAAGACTTTTTTTAAGGGGGGAAAATCATCGAATGACTGCTCCCGCCTGGGAGAGGCGGGAGAGAGTGTCAGACTCTTACTGACTAAAAACCACCCCGTTCCTTCTCCTGCACGTCGAGCCGGAGCCCCGGTTACCCGTTAGGTTCTCCGCGACAATAAATCGGCATCGGCCCTATTGGGCCCCATCTGTGGTGGTCTGATGGCTCTTTGAGGCGCGCGCGGAACGCGACGCGCCGTACGCTCGGGTCTGTTTCTGGTCGGACGGGGAGCCACCCATGCTCGCCGTCCGCAGGCCCGCGCTTACGGTGGCCGGAGATCGTCCCGCGATCCCCGACGCCCGGTGTGTCCTTCGCGATGGCTGGGTTGCGAGGAGGCAGCGCTTCGCTGCCTCACGCGTCCCGCCTCCTCCTTAGCTAGCATGACTGCTTCGCAAAAGGAGGAGACGGCATCCCAATCCCCCTCGCTCCGCATCATGGCCTGCACTAGGCCCGGACGCGAGAGGTCGCCATCGCCGATCACTTCCCTGAGGACACGGCGGTGCTCAGCCCACGAAGGGCATTCTCCCACCGTGTGTTCCACCGTGTCCTCAGGGCGGTCCTCGCAGTGATGACACCCGGGCGTTTCCTCCCGCCCCATCAGACACAGGTACCTCCCGAAACTTCCATGTTTTTTTTTATGGCATAAGCCGGTAAACGAGCAGACGGATCACCTGATGGTAAGCAATCGGCGTCGCCCATGGACACCTGGAACACCAGAGGCGTTACAAGTGCGTTACCGGCCTTTTGGGGATTAGGAGTTTGAGGATCGTTGGGGATTCAGGAATTGGGGAGATTGGGGAAGGGGAGGGTAATTGGGCCTCCGGTAACCTCACTCACACGACGAAACACAACGCAAGCGTTGCTTCCCGTCGGTTTTCTGTGAGGCCGTGGTATCACTCCGGTCGAGCCGGCCCATTCGTACCGAAGTACATGGCTCTCCCACACTTAAAAATTAATATCTTAAAAATCATTTGGTTTGTTCAAACCCATTTGGAAGAGAACATCCATTACCAATACGATACTTACCAGGTAACCCCCAGAATATCCAGTCTGATTACGACTGCTTATAGTCATAATATAATAGTCTATATCTCTGAGTCTAGCTCTCTTCTCGTCCCAAAAGCAATGGCCGGCTGAAAATAAAGAAATATAGTTCATTATTATTTACCCTAGAGTGGGCGCACCTTTAAGTAAGACATCAGTGGGGCCGTGTCGAGCATTTTGCCGCCTGGCGATATCAGACATCTTAAACAGTAGTTAGTACTTACAGCGTTAAATCTTTCGGCACGTACTGCTAACGAGACTAGAGGCACCTATTAAAAAGCACAAGACTTTTTTTATGACGTGTACAGACACCAGACTATGACAGGTAGACAGCGGCGTTAATGACGAGTGTCCTACCTTATATAACAGATTATAGTGAGGGGGCGACTACTTACTAATTAGTGATGTACATACATGTAACAAATACATATAACAAAATAGATCAACAGTAAAATACCAGAAATAACGATGTTTCCTCTGATTATCGACCCGGCACAGAACTCCTGCCCATCATTCCAGTGTGGAGAGCGAATGGTCACGTGCCATGGAGGCACAGTGGCACCCTCTGTCATAACTCCACAGTCTATAACAAAAACACATAATAGCTACACAAATATACTTATATTCTTATCTATACTTAATATTATAAAGCTGAAGAGTTTGATTTTTTGTTTGTTTGTTTGTTTGAACGCGCTAATCTCCGAAACTACTGATTCGAATTGAATAATTCTTTTTGTGTTGGATAGTCAATTTATCGAGAAAGGCTATAAAACATCTCACTACGACTAATAGGAGCTGAGCAGAGCGGGTGAAACCGCGCGCAAGTAGCTAGTCTATACATACTTGTCTGACTGCCTCGTTGGCCAAGTGGTTGCAAGTGCGACTACCGGGAAAGAAATCTCGAGTTCGATTCCCGGGTCGGGCAAAGTATTACTAGGTTTATTACAAAATTTCTCAGTAGTAGCACGGAGTCAGGAATTGTGCCCGGTATATGGGAATAGGCTCACCCTCTATAACATGGGAATCGTAACATAAATAGTGAAAAGTGGGCGTTACATTGTACACTGGCATAATATGCACCTCTGCCTATCCCTTCGGGGATAAAATGCATGATGTTATGTTATGTAAAAACGGTAGTTTCAACATTACAAACAGACACTCCAAATTTTATTTATCTGTATAGATATAGTTACTTGTACATTCAGGCATTTCTCCAAACCACAGTCCTTGGACACATATAAGTGTCCGGTTGCCCACAATCTCGTATCCTGGTAAACAGCTGATGTTCAGCATCGCGTACTGCAGGTTATCTCCAGGCTTGGCTGAGGGGAAGCTGGCAACTTCATACTGACCGTTTACGGGAGCTGACGGCAGGGTACAGCTGTCAAAAATATAATTTATCTACAGATATACCAGCGGTGTCACTCGCGTCCCCGTGAAATCAAAAGTGACTTAACCCGTTGAAATTCGTCCCCTAAATTTGTTCATACAAAAGTAGTCTCTAAACATTGGAAATAAGGTTTTTAATGTAGTTAGTGGAGAGTGGTCACCGGTGACTGCTTGGGGATGTATGGGTTAAACCCTTGTTAAACCAAAACAAATGCGAAAAATTGTATGTTAATTGTTTGTTTCATCCTCGTTCACGTAAAACTACTAAGATTTTTTTAAAAAACCCAGTAATACCTTGCCCGACCTGGAAATCGAACCCGAGACCCGAGACGAGAGAGAGAGGGCAGATTAATATGTGGAATAATACATAGGCCTCTTATTATCCCACGAGACCGCGGGCGAAGCTGCGTGCTAGTTAAGTAGATAGGTAGTTAAGTAGGTTAAGTAGGTGGACAAATTTACTACCTATGATCGGCGACGGCGACCTCTCGCGTCCGGATCTAGTTCAAACTATGGTACGGAGCGATGGGGATTGGGATCTCATCTCCTCCTTCTGCGAAGCAGTAATGGTAGCTAAGGAGGAAGCGGGGAGCGTGAGGGAACGAATCTCCTCACGCCCCAGCCATCGCGAGAGAGACTCTGGGCGTCGGGGAACGAGAGACGATCTCCGGCCACCGTAAGCATGAGCCTGCGGACGGCGAGCACGGGTGACTCGCTGCCCAATAAGAACCAGACCCGAGCGTACGACGCGTCGCGTTCCGCGCGCGCATCAAGAACCCATCAGAGCACTACAGATGGGGCCTAACAGGGCTGATGTTTATACGGAGCCGCGGAGGGCTTAATATGTTGCCGGGGCTCCAGCTCGAAGTGCAGGAGTAGGAACAGGGTGTTTTTTAGTCAGAAAGAGTCTGACGCTGCCTCTCGCCTCACCCAGGCGGGATAAGGCAATCGTTAGGAATTGTAATTAATCAGTTTACTTATAGGCTCTTTGAAATTGCCTCTTAGGGCTCGTACACAGAATTGCTGCGATGCGATTTCGTGCGACAAGGCGTCTCCCAGGGTGACCATTCCTTCGACGACCGTCAACCGTACTAAACGTAGGTATTTTAAATTAAAAACTAGGTCGTGACATGGATCGTAATAAGAAGTGTGCACTTCTGTTATTGCTTAGGAGATACAGGAAAAAGAAACAAAGATCATTTTGAGAAGATAAGATTTTGATGCGCGATGCGACTCAATTCGCAAGTTCTTGCGATGCGTAGAGGGAGCTCGCACATTTTTGCGACGCGACGTCGCATCGCAGTTTTGTGTACGAGCTCTTGCTTCAGTAGAAACAAAAGACTGTTGTTCGACTACTTACCTGTTTACTGTCTGGCTGACTGCCTTATTTATTGCTGGAAAAATAAATATAACTTTATACATGGTGTCATAAATATCAACCGCTTATCTTGACCAGATGACAATTTTTCTTGAGTGTAAGTAAAGAAAAGAAAACAAAATATTTCCGTTGTAAAAAAACATTACAAAGGATAAATCTTAGGTACTATTTTTATTGATAACATGCTTTTTAAGGGACTAGCCCGTCACAACCTCCCAAAACCGCTGCAACTCCTGTAAGCCAGGATCCACAGTAGATACAACCATGAAAACACCGGAACACTGAAGTCCGGCGCGTCCCAGGGACATGAGTAACTGTCTTGGTTTCCACAACGAAGTGAATCAGAAGATATTATAAGAGGAGAAGTAAAAAAAACGATAGTTTCCACTTCCCTCAGTGAATTACTGCAGGAGACAGGGTGAATTAAGCCTAAAGGCACAAAGAAACGAGACTGTAAAACTGGGTGAAGCCCAGTCGCCAAGCAACACGGAAATTTGACTAAAATCTAAGTGGGTCCTATGGGTGAGCTGTTACACGTGCTTCCAGTAAATAGGCATGGCAAAAGCGTCTAAACGCGCGGAAATATGTTCTAGTTTCCACAAAGTGTCGCGGAGAACCTAACGGGTAACCGGGGCTCCGGCTCGACGTGCAGGAGAAGGAACGGGGTGGTTTTTAGTCAGTAAGAGTCTGACACTCCCTCCCGCCTCACCCAGGCGGGGGCAGTCATTCGATGATTTTCCCCCCTTAAAAAAAAAAAAAAAAAAAAAGTTTCCACAAAGTCCGTATAATAAGTTGCACCTGACGAAACAATTATTTTCACTGTCGTAGACTGGAAAATCAAGGCTTTTTTAATATATTATATAACAATTTAATAAATTAGCGTGTAGTCATTTAATAATATCGGTTGTCGGGTGTGGTTGTCGTGTCGGTTGTGTATGTCGTATCGGTCGTATTTGTCGCACTTTGTCGTATTTGTCGTATTTGCCGTATCGGTCGCATTTGTCGCATTTGTCGTGTCAGTCGTATTTACCGTATTTGTCGTATTTGTCGCATCGGTCGCATCGGTCGTATTTGTCGTATTTGTCGCATTTGTCGTATCGGTCGTATTTGTCATATTTGTCGTATCGGTCGTATTTGTCGAATTTGTCGTATCGGTGGTATTTGTCGTATTTGTCGCATTTATCGTGTCGGTCGTATTTGTCGAATTTGTCGTATCGGTGGTATTTGTCGTATTTGTCGCATTTATCGTGTCGGTCGTATTTGTCGTATTTGTCGTGTCGGTCGTATTTGTCGTATTTGTCGTGTCGGTCGTATTTGTCG